CCCCCAAACCCCAAAACCCCAAAACCCCTAATCTTGAATCTATGAATGATTCATGAAATTTTGATAAATCGAATATTAAAAGAAACTGATAGAAATTTTCCTTAAATACCGTCTAGATGATCTCAAAGATTCATCTTAAGATATTACTAAGTGAGTTGAGAGATTACTTATTCATAAACATAACTCATTTTCCTGAAATTCATCATACAATACCTTATTGAGAATGCTAAGCTTTTAGCTTTTAAACTCCTCGATCTCACTTTCAATACTCTCTAAACCATCCTTGTTTTCAATGAACTCTTTATGCATAGTAAGTATCTTCTCATATGCACTGGTGAATTCATTACGAATCTAGTCAAAATTATAAGTTGACTTTCCGATGTTGTTATTTGTATTTAGTGGATCAAGAATTATGAGGACAGAGGAAAAAGTGAGGAATGGAAGTGGTACGATTTGCTAGTACTCATTGATCATTGAAAGCTTAACGTCAAATATACGGCCAAAGTAAATCAGGAATTATGTAAATATTCTTGCTGGTGATAGCATATCAGTTGAAGGATCATATGTCTGCGGCAAGTCTTAGTTTATAAAAGCTATAATCAATAAGATAAGACCATAAGAACTCAATCCACCTATATTATATTTTAAGAAACAATCAATTCTTACCTAGGAAAGGGGAATTCAAATCTCTGAGAGCCAGGAATTTTTTGAGTAGCAAGGATAGTGATTGAAGTTGGGGATATTCACTTAATTTTTACTTGATGTAATGACAGCATTTGATGCCTAAATGCAATGGCTACGCAAAATTGACTCCATTGATATTCTGCTCATTTTCTTGGTCGTTAAATGTTATATCTATTTTAAGATGCTTCATGTCTTCTTCTATTGCAACTGACTCATGATGGCCATTACTCTGAGCATCTCTTATTTTTTGTAAGTCAATTATCTAAATTTTAATTAAAGTTTGATTTCTTACAATCTTGATAACTGGCACAGTGGCTGTTTCTATTATAGAGTTGCTTTCTAGACAGTACAATTTATTAAGCTATTTATGAAGTCTCTTCATCTGCTCAATAAGATTCAACCTGTCAATTACACCTCCTTCTTAGTTAAAGACACCTGAGACTAGCACATCCATATCAGATGAATCTATTGCTAGTCCAGTTGCCATTGATCCATACATTTGAATCTTAACATCCACATATTCTAAAATGTATTATATAATTAATGCTTTACCTTAATAAGCTTCTTTAACGAATTGCTCAATAATCTTAAAAGCAGTTTACCTTTCGTGCTCAGTCTTTTATAGTTTCATCTATTGTTTGATTTATAATTTGTATATTTCTCTGTCGAACTTCTTAAAGAATAACTCCTCTCTATTTTGATTCTTATATTGATCAAGGGTTTGGTGACTTACATTTCTAGGTGTGTTATTCATCTAGAAATTGGTAAATGGTTGGTTAAATTAAGAAGTTTAGGGTGCCTAATTAAGAGGGCTAAAGGACTAGTTTTAAGTTGGCATTATCAAAGGTGAGCTAATCTAAGGTATAAAGGGGGTAGGTTAAGGGAAACCAGTGGCTGGATTGAATAACTAATTAGGCAAGTTTTACATCATAAAGGGATTATATTAAGGGTTCAATTGCTATTCAATCATTCCTTAATTGAAGTTGTTAAAAATATTGAAGGGCTGAGTTTGGAAGGGCATTTGATAAACTTAGATGTTGATATTCATCGAGTAATCATTATTGATGTTTTGGATTTAGTTAATCATTGTCTAAAGATTTTGATTCTACTAATTTTATAATTACTATTGATTCAAGCCTTATTCTTTTTGGCCTCCTGACCCCATTTATATATTATCTTTGTTGATTCCCTATCCATCCTAGACATTTTGTTCTGTTTGAGTCTCTTACGTACTTTAAAATTTAGGAAAAACTAGTTACTGCTGGAAAGGGTAAATGAACTAATGTTGATTAAACAACTGTTAAGGTGTTTAATTAGGTTAAGGGGATAGTGAAGTTGGAATCAGCTATTATTAGCCAGGGATTTATTAAGTTGGAGAAGGTGGTGGTAACAAAAATCCTTAATTTTGATGCATTAATGGATTGAAGTACATTTGAGGATTTAACTGAGGAGGCTAGAATAGCTAAGGTGGTTGTAACATTTGCTGAGTATTTTGAACTTAAGCTAAATTCATGATACTTTAGTTAAGCAGCTATTATTGCTGTTGCTATTGTATCTATGCCTATTCAAATGTCAAAAATTAGTTCAACTGCGGTGATAGCAAATGATTTTATTACTATTAGAATTATATTTGTTAGTTTTATAGTGATTACTATTAATGATAGCCTAAATTTGAACTCTTCTTCTTATGGTGGCCTTTATTGTTATTAGATGATTAGTTATTTCCTTAGTTATTTGAGCTAAATTACTTATGATTTTGATTTTGTTTTTTCTAAAAGTTGTTTTGATTATTATTAAGATTGTTATTATGCTGATTTGAGTGTTTAGCGCTGTAGCCGGTGAGCGGTTCATTTGTTTACTCAACTATGGGTGTCTAGCTTCTTTATTCCAAGGGCATTAGATTAAGCATTTATTGATTTAATGAACTTGATAATTGCTATGCTTTGAAAGGCTTAGCCTTAATTTACTTTTTGTTGTGGCTCAAGTTTTAGTTTAAGTTATTGCTATTACTATTATTATTATTATTGTTGTTTTATTGAGCTTGTTGATTTTTCTTATTCACACTCATGAGAATATCTGGGTTAACACTGATACCCTGCTCTCTGAGATCTCTGTTTTCTTATCTAGGCTTCTTAGGCTTTTTGAGATTGATTAGGGGTTAATTTATAACAATCTAAGGTTGTGGCTAGACATCCTATGTGTTTTAGACTGTTTGGATTTGATTCTGCTGAGTTTAATCCAATTATCCCACTTATACTAATTCATCAGTCACATCTTACTTTCTCTCTTCTATCTATTATGATATTTCTTCTGTTTTTTATTCAGATGGTTAGTTTTGACTAGTCTAACTATTTTTCTTTGAAATGTTTTTCTGATTATATAACTATTATTTATTATCATTATGTTGATTAGGTCCATGGTTATGATTTTACCTATTATCATTTTTAGGATTATCATTATAAGCTGTTTAAAACATAGATTGATAGCTATCAAAGTTTGCTTGTAAAATACTCTGTTTATTTTAATTCTAGTTCTTATCCTTTTTAGTCCTTTACGTTTATGGTGATGCTTTCTTTTGCTCTTGATTAATTTGATTATTCTGCTAATTTACGTTAAGATTATCTTTCTTTAAATCTTTTCTTTGTGTATTTGTCTATTAATATTAAGTATTATCCGTGTAATGATGATTATGGTAATCTTTACTTTCTTCATAAGTTTTTCTAGACTAATGCTAACTATTTCTCTTTTTATTCTATATGCTCAAATTTTCTGGCTATTTTTAAGGTTAGCTATTTTACTTGGTGAGCTACGCTTGATTTTAAGACTGTTAATTATAGCTTGACTATTTTTTTACTATTTCAGTAGTTTAGACTTTAGCTTATGTTTCAAAACTTCTTCTGGGGCTGACGCTAGAATTATTGCTTGATGTTGTGATTTCAATTATCTTAATTTTAGTATCATCAGATGGATTCTTATACTCTGATGGGAACAATTCACCTAGACTACTTAAGGTATGCTAGTGAATCACGTCTTCAGTTCCAACACTAGAACCTCTGCTGCTACCTCTCTTAGGTATCTTAATTTCCTCTTCATTTTCATCAATGGGAATCTTGAATTCAACGTGCTTTTTTGAGTTGCTTCTCGGGCTTTGTGGGTGCTCCAGGAATTGCATATTTGTGTATAGTTATGGATAAGGCTAATTTTTTGTATTTTGAGGGTCTGATTTTAAGAGTTGTTTCATTTTATTAGAATTTCTTCTGTTTTTCTTGCTATTGTTATCTTTTTTAGCAGTTTAATGAATGATTTCTTCTTACTCATCTTCCAAGTTGCTGTTTGCAGCGAATATCACTTTCTTGCAAATATCAGCAGTGATATCTCTTGCTAAGTTTTTAGTCTCGTCCTCTTCCAAAGTGTCTTCATTGCTTAGAACCTAGACTGGTGTTTAGTTTTCATCTTTGACCTCCAGTAAGTAGTTGTTAAACTTTTTCTCCTCTACCATCTATATTAAGTTTTCGATATGCTCATCATTATTCTAATCCTCATCCTCGTTTTTCACATTAATCTCTATTTAGTCAAGATTTATACTCTCAATTTCATCAACCTCATCTATGTTTTAGAGAATCTCATGAACAGACTTAAGTATATCATTGTTATCATCCATATCTTCTTGACTGAGGATCTCAGCAATTTTATTTCTAGCTTCTTAAACGATTTTTATATTCTTCTCATAATTATTTTCTGGCTGCTAAACAGGGGCTTTAGCATTATTTTTATTCTTATGTTTGTTGTTCTTCCTTTTCTTTTTCTTCTTCTTTTAAGCATCTTATTGATTATCTGTATTTTGTGAAGCATTAGTCTCAATATCTTAAATTTTAGGAGGCTAATAGATTCCGTATTCGCCATCACTCAATTTATGATACTACACTTCTCCAGTGAGTAATGATCGAGCCTCCTCAATCCTTCTTTAATTCATCTCCTCTTCTTATCTTATCATTTGAATTTTCTCTGATAACTCTTGATTGTCAAAAGAGGTATTTTTCATCAGTTTCTTTACCAGCTCTAACTGCCTTTATTCTTATAAGATTTAAATCTTAGATTCAGAAATAGACTCTGGCTTTAGTTCAACTCTTGAGATTTAATTCTATATCTTATCCTATTCAATTACTACTGAGGCAGTAGTCTCTTTCGATCCTTTGTTTTTATTCTTGTTCTTTTTCTTCTTATTTTTTTTGGATGGATTTGACCCTACTCCTTATAATGACTTATCTTCACTGTTTATATCCTTTTTATCCTCTTGGGTTGATTTTTTAGATTGCAACTAGACTTTACTTTCATTTGAAGATGCGTTTGTAATTGCTTTCTAATTTTTATTTCCTCCTGAAGATTGGCCGTTTCCGTTATTATTAGTTTTTGAATCGTCGTAATTCATCAGATCTTCAAATACACTTTTCTCATAGAGCTGTATTAGTTGCTGATAGAACTCTAATGGTATCTCCATTCAATCTTCATTTTTCAAAGCTATTTGAAAATCAATCCCTGTTGACATTTTCCTTATAAAAACAAACACCTTTGCTAAATCTTGTGCTTGATTTGAATCAACTAATATTTTAGTCTTAGCTGTTTTAAAGTAATTATTGGTTATCTTTAGATGATTCTTTGTTCTTTCTTATTAACCTGCTTCTATAGAAAAATCCTCATCATGGTCCATGTTATTTTAATTTGATTCATCATCTTCATCATTTCGGTATTTGGAGTATTAATCTTTGAGAGTAAGTTTACCATTAGCTTTGTTTTCTGTATATCTGCCATATAACTCCTATTATCTTTTACTCAGAGCATAGTCATTTTAATTTCTCTCAATTATCTTTTTCTGTTATATCTAAGCTTAGCTTTAGGAATTTTAATTTTTGGGCCTAAATCTAGAGAGCTAGTTTGAAGTTTATTATTCCAAATCAGATTCTAATTCTTCATCATCATTCTCAAAATTATCTGAATAAGCTGAATTGCTTTGACTTCTCTAAGATTTGATGGCATTAGTATTGCTATAAAAATAAGGGGTGTTTTCCTCATCTCTTTTTCGGTTGTTTGAATTGTAGTTACTGCTGCTTTCATATTCTTCGTTTAACTCTTTAATTCCTTCAAATTAATAAGTCTTTGTATGTATCTCGCTTTCAATTTTCTTCTCAAGTTCGTCCAAATTTTTTATTGCCTTTTTTCTTTTTTCACTGTCCATACTAAGCCAAAAGTAAGATAACTTCATATCATAAGTGAATATGTCAAACTAAGGAGTAGTGAAGAAGAAATTCTGATGATCTTGGTTCAGTTTGCCTAAGTAGTCCAAATACTGCACATTAATTGCCTTTTCAAAGATTGTATAGAGACACTAAGCGAGTGAGAACTCCCCGGTTTTATCTCTGCAGGCGTAATTCGAAGCTGATGGAATAATTGTGTAAAATTTCCTAGGCTTTTCGGTCTCTTTCCGGTTTTCATAATGTCCTGCAGTTGGATCATCCTACCCATTGCTGTAAAAAACACTGTTATCAAGTTTTGATCTGTCATTTGATAGCCTTCATTAATAGATTATTAATATGAATGAATGTATGCTTACTGTAGTTCATTTTTCAGAAAGTTATCTTAGTTCTGATTAATTTTGTTCATTATTTGAAAGAAAAATTGAGTGTTCAAGATTAGTTTGAGATCTAGAGTGAATGCGTCATATATTCTAATCTTCTTTAAATCTGCTTGACTCTTCACACTCTTACTACTCTGCTTTCTCTATTGCTGCAACTGCTTTATCTTATTTTCATTAGCAATTCTTTACTCTTCTCGATGGTTGAGGTTGAGCAGTCTGATAGAATTCCTCAGCTCTTACTCTGCAATAAAGTATTGTTGAAGGTAGCTAGACTTACTCTCATAAGTTATGGATAGATTCTAGCCTTTATACAAAATATTGTAGGGTCTAAAAATAATTGTAAACCAGCATAATTTACCTTAATCTATCATATTCGTTTGGCCTTATATTTGGATATATTTAATTGGTAAATTTTCCAGTTTGATGGTTCTAAGAGCATTGGTACATGTTCACTATGAGATTGACGAGTTGCTTGTCAACCACAGTAAGAACAATGCTTTTGTCTGCTAGAGACAGCTGTTCAAACCATTATCTAATGCCAAGACCTTTTTCTACTTTACCTCCAAACACATTTTCATTCTACTATATCCATATAAGTCAAAATTATTCCTACATTAGTATATTTTATTGGAGTACTAGAATTCTCAATGGCTTATTCTCCTGTTTTACTATTGTTAACGGCGATTGTAGCATTATCGTTTGAAGCTAAAATCGGGTTAGATGAACCACTACTGCTAAGTGATTCGGGATTGTATTAAAAATCTTCATTTTATAGTCTATGCTTTTTAAGTGATACATATTTTGACGGACTCTCAAAAAATAACTTGCAATCCTAGGGTGAATGACTGCTTGATGAAATTACTGTTTACTTAGATGAGTTCTGTTCTACCTAGAATAACTACTACTAGTTATATTATCTAATATTAGCAGGAAAATTAGATGAACTGATGGTGTATGAACCACCAACTCCTCCTCCTCCAGCTTAATGACTCTCATGCCTATTTATTGACCCATAACCTGGCTAAGTTCGGGCATAATAAGAATTAGGATCTAGATCGTCATACTACCTCGATTTCGATACTTGTTCATCTAATTAGGAACAAGTTTCAAAGATTTTGGTGTAATAGTTATTTCCACGATTAAAGGAGTCGGAATTATTAGTGCGTGAATGGGAGTTTTCCATATATTACAATTAATTAAACAAATTTTAAATTATTTTATTGTATACTTTCTATCATTTATTGCCACTTTTGAGCCCAGTGGGGTTTTGGGGTTTTGGGGTTTTGGGG